ACGTTATTTGACTGCCCCTAACGACAGCTTGTTCACTTGTAAAGTGCAGAGGGCAAAGCCAATGTTCCACTTGCTCTCTGATGTTGTGATTGTGATTCTACAAGTATTACTTTATGGCCACTTGAGAAATAGCAGCAGATTAACTTATCTTCAGCATCACCCACAGAGCAAAACTTTGCAACAGATAGAAATCCAAATAATAATTAGTTTTATAAATAGAAGTGACAACAAATTAAATAAATTTCTTTGAATCACTTTATAAAAAGATATAGGTCATCCTGATATATTCACATTTTATAAATATCAACAGGGTAATTGGGAGAGGTAAACCCAATGGTATATTAGCAAAGCTTAACATTAATGTACCCTTCCAGATCATATAATGCAAAATTATTCAATTATATTTTAATATACTACTATGTAGTAATATCTAAATATTTGGTGGCATAGGACAGAATTCTAAAAATACACTTTGAAACATCATAATCTTAGTGAAATTTCCCAAATTGTCATTATTATTAAGTCCAGACAAAGGCCCATTTAGAGAATAACAATCTACTGCCAAGGAAAAATAAAGTATGCAGACATAAAGCATAAGGACATATTTAAAATAACATAAAAAGAATTTAAAATTGGAAATCTATTGAGATTACTAATTGGCTCTGTGTAATTCAATAAGTTGATATCTGAGGAATAAAGAAGCTAATTATTATGAGATCAATACAGTCATTACATACTAAATACAATGAGAATAAGGGTCCACATTAAAATCAAAAGTAATTACTTGTTTCCACTCCCCACCCACATCACTCCCTCACCCCTCGTCTCCCTCACCGATTCTGATTTTCTGGTAATAAATAATCTTTTACACTATATGAGAGGAGTGCTAAGCTGAAAAGAAAGGCATTTTAATTCTTTTATGATGTCACTAGTATTTTTAGGAACCACTGACTTGTTTGATTTCTCTTTCAATACATGTTTTAAAACATTCATGACAGTCTCTAGCTGCTCAATGATATTAGCAAGAAAAATTTCTCAGAGGAGTTCATTCATTTTCAGTTTTCTATGATGAAAAAGAAAAAGATATGATAGAAAATTATTAGAAATAGTGTTTCTAGACGTCTTGAGCTATTACTTGAAATACAGAACTGGATCCGTCTGACTGCAGAATGGCTGATAGCCCCATCTGAATGAGTGATATTCCTGTCAAATCCGAAGGAGGTAGGACAAAATAAATAAATATATTTCAGACCAGAATAGGTAGCCAGTTCTGGTCTAGACTTCAAATTGGTTGAACATTTTCCTAGCCTCACCTGTGACTGTATTATCCACTCTTTTATTTATTATACAGCCCCCCACCACCAATAATACAGTGGTTCAATCTTGGCAGATTATTGGGCAGCTGAGGATAGTCTCAAATTGTTCTAATCAAATCCTCCTCCTCTACAACATAAACTTAATTATTACTAATGGTAATTAACAGTCAGTTCCCCATGTGTCGACCTTTCCCTTTTCCACTTTGACTTTCTCCTTTTGGGAATCTCCAGAAGCTTTTCCCATATACCATTTTAGACAGTCCATTAACTTCTTAGATCCTGACAGGTATTCTTTTAATGACCTTGTGGGGGAAGAAGAAATGTTTTACTACCTTTCTAGAATCTTTCAGCTGGTCTAATAATTAAATCTACATTAGACAAGGTAACAAGGGAAAACAACGAAATTCAATGACATACATGCATGTGGGAACCCCACATACATGACAGAGTTAGAGACGCCCACATGCATGAGAAGTTCAATGACAGAAAAGTCAGATGAGATGCATAGGGCATACTGAGGAAGCAATAAGGTCAGATGCCTTGGGGCTTCAGAGGGGAGGAGGAAATTTCATAGGAAGATGAAAACAGATATTCATTAATTAGAAGTTTGCTCAGCCCTATAGATAGGTCATAAAAAGTTTTATCTGGTAATAACTCTTACTATGGGCAAGACCTCCAATTTATAACCTTCTAGGTCATTGAGGGGGCAGAAGTTTCTCTTGGGACAACAGGGTCTCAATCACCTTCAGCTGAAAATGATCCACATGCCAAAGCAGCCCGTCCTGTAAGGACTGTTCTGAACCCTTCCACCTCAGCAGGTCTTCTCACATATTCATAACTTCCTCATTTGATTCAATGATTTTCTTGCTAAACAAAAGCTGCTCTTGCCACTCTTTGGAAGCAGACAATTACAAGACACAATAACATTAGAGAACAGTTGTAAGAAGTTAGGGGGATGTTTTGGGAAACTTAGAAGAAACACCTCACAGAAATGTCAAGTTAACAAAACACTTCAGCTTTCAGAAGTACTCCGGGTGGGAGGCTGTATCTCAAATCTCTGTGGAACAAAAACTACAACAAAAGGCCAACATGTGGTGAAGTGCCAGATGAAATGAAAGCCAATTCAAAGGCCTAGGATTGCACCCTGCAGGAAGACCACCCAAAATAACAGCAAGGAGTTTCAAGCACTGGTACACACACATCTTTCTCTACTGCAGAGCTAAGCATAGCAGAGTTAGCACAACTACACTGCCAGTTCACCTTGCTCTCTCCTCGCAGTGTGTGGCTGTTCCACTGTGTAAGCCAAGCTTTCTAGGAATTCCCCCTCATTAAACTGAGTTGAGTCTTAAATAATAGGAAATAAATTCTATAGTATTGGCAATCATATTTAAATTAAGTAAAAAATCATCTTCAACAATTACACACAAATAAATTGGATTAGATTCTTAAATTACCCACAGAAACCCAGTTTCTTATACTAGAAAGAATAACCAAGACTTAGGTGCATTTCCTGTCTTTGGACTGGGAATGTTACACTGTGTGAAAACTGGCATCACTGAGGTGAACACATGAAATAAAAGGAGTCATTGAATCTCCATAGCTCAACTTTGTAGAAAGTGATTTTTAAAAATATCAAACTGGTCATGAATAAATAATAAGATGGAATTTTCATTTATAGTGTATTTTATGTTCATTTATTCAACAATGTTCCGAGCAGGAGAAAAGAAGCCAAAAAAGAAAGACATGTCCCCTGCCTCATTGGTTTCTGAGTATAACATTTAATCCAAGTTAAAACCACACCTTGATTTAAAAATGGAATCAATCAACCATAAAAAAACAAAAAAAGAATGAAATCTTACTATTTGGGACAGAGAGTACTGTGCTAAGTAAAGTATGTCAGTCAGAGAAAGACAAATGCCATATGATTTCATTTATGTGTGGAATTTAAAGAACAAAATAAACAAACCAAATAGAAATAGACTGCCGGTTGCCAAAGGGGAGGGAGGTTGAGGGTAAAAAAAAGCGAAGGGATTAGGAAGTACAAATTGGTAGTTATGAAATGGTCACGGGGATGTCAATAAAGTACAGCCCAGCGGGATACAGCCAATAATACTGTAGTAACTATGCATGGTGCCAGGTAGGTACTGAAAATTGAAGGAAACAACTTATAAAGTGTGTGATTGTCTAACCACTATGCTGTACACCTGAAACAAAAGAATATGGAATGTAAACTGCAACAGAAAAATAACTTTTCACTTTAAAAAATGGAATCAGTTATGCAATTACTTCATGTAGTAAGACCTCTGAATAACCAATATTTCTATAGTCTGTTATGGAACTGCCACTAACTAGTTTGGGGATATTGGTTAAATCACTTCATTTAGGAAGGTAAATGGGCTTAGCTACATGTTCATAGATTTTTTTTTTTTTGCTTTCACACTCTAAATCTTAAATGTGTTTTCCATGCATTACCTCTGTTGCAGTCTGCTTCGGCTGCTATAACAAAATAATACAAACTGGGTGGCTTCTAGACAACAGAAATTGACTTGTTACAGTTCTGAAGGCTGGAAGTCTGAGATCAGGGTGCCGGCATGGCTGGGTGAGGGCCCTCTTCGGGGCTGCAGACTGGATGTTGAATCCTGACTTGGAAGAAGAGATGAGTTCTCTGGAAACTCTTTTATAGAGATACTTATCCCATTCATGAGCTTCACATTCTTAACCTAATCACTCCCCTACTTCCCGGCATCCATAAGCATTGGGTTCTCAACATATGAGCTTGGTGGGGGTGGGGAGTGGTGGATGGACATAAACATTCAGACAATAGCAACCTCTCCAATGTTCATGCTCATCTGCAATAAGAGAGGCAGACAATGTGATCTGTGGAAGATGGAAGAGCGAGAGACATGCCAAGGAGGATGAGAAACCCCATCTTCAGACTTGGGTGTAGGGCCCGAGTCCTCACGTGACAGAGGACAGACAAGTGTAAGATGACATGGGGACAGTCTTGCTGGTTGCTAGCTTAGTGACCTGAACAAGTTATTTATACCTCCGAACCCTGGTTTTCCTAACTGTAAAGCTGGGGCATAACTGTACACATCCATAGGATGTTTAGCAGAAAATAAAATCTTTATAGCTAAGTTTTATCTTGTAATAAAAGAATTAGGCAATACACAATCAGGCCATGTATAACAATTTTACAAGACTATCGAATTCTCTGTCAGTTTGCACCTTGTCTAGGACTCAAGGTTTCTTTGTGACTGAGCCCTGAATGTGCCACACCCATGTCTCGGCCAAATAGGGTTGTGCTTTCCCCAGGACCAGAACTAGGGAATCAGGGTCTTGTAAACATGGCCATTCTTAGCAACCAATCTAGGAAGCAGGGAATTGGTTCTGCTTGGGATATTTTCTAATACTTTTCTATAGTTCACCTATAAAACAAAACAAAACAAAACAAAACAAAACAAAAACCATGTCATCCTTTTCTGAACATGGCAAATCTAATGATATCAGCAACCCTTATTGTTATTATAACTACTAAAAATTCACAATTATTATTATACATTAGCCACATTCTGTCTCTATTTGACTCTTGCTCTCCACTTTTAAAAAATTATCTATTTCTGCTAAAACCCAAAAGAGTGTATGTATTATTGTAGAAGGTTTAAAAAAGGCTTACACAACATGTTTGTTATCAATGCTTTATTGTTGAAAACAAAATTGAAATTCTCTGGCACATAAAACAATTATTCCTACAAAAGGAAAGCCTACAAATCTTGATAATTTATACAAATAAGAGTTTCTCAAAAAATAAAATTTTAATTTAGTAAACTTGTCTTGTGCTCTATATTTTTAGCACTGTCTGCAATAATCCACCATAAATCCCTGAGCGGAGACATTTTTTGACCATGTTCTATAGTGCCCCCCCCTCCAGCCCTCCCCCCGAGTTGGTCTAAGCCCAGCCCTGTAATAAAAGGTGTCAGGGACATTTTGTTATTAAAGATCCATGCATTTTATGACACAGGCCCAACTATTAATGCTCCTTGGGAACTGGGTCAACATGAAGTGCCTCTACTGTGCAATCAGCGAACCTGTTAAGAACCAAGTGTTTTGAAAGGAAGAACAATGACAATAAAAAGACACAAAGTGTTAAAACTAGGAAGTCATCATAGGTCAATAACTATTTAAATAAATAAAAATGTTAGACATTGAATTCATCTCTATATCCTTATATTAAATTCCTTATTTACTTACTTTTTTTTTTTTTTTTTTTGCAATTGCCAATGCAGTAGAAGGTGAGCAATACACTTCAACCCATACTTTTGGTTTGACCACGGGTTTGTTGTTGTTAAATGTTAAATATCATTCTGAGAACACAGTGATTTAGTTATAATTTAACTTTTGGCCCCTCAATGAAATGTTTACAAAATACTATACATACTAGAAAGGCCTTCTTATTAATGCCATCAACAAATCTCCCTCACTACATTTGCCCTTCTTACAAAAACACTACTGTCTTAGGAACACTACTTTAAATTCTTTATCCCACTGTATTCAGATATGCAGAAAAACATATAAAATATGAAGAAAACATAGTATGATGTACTTGCATGCCCAGCTCCCACTAATGGGGATACTGACCATATATACATGGAACACGCATGAATGTAAAGAAGGAAAAGCTAGTTTTCAATTGCAAGGAATTGCCTTGATGAATCAAGTTTTGTTTTTTTATTTTGCTATGATAGAATAATAAATAAATAAATATGGAGAGTATTGTATTTCTACTTTCTCTATGAAGAAGCTGATAGTGGACTGTTGTTTTTATAAAGTTAATTTTTAGTAGCAAAGTTTGACTGCAAGTCAAAAAAATGTTTGACAAATGTTCTTCTCTACCTCATTTACACTTTTTTACTTATGAAATGATCACTGAAGTGGTTACTAATAGGTAATGAAATAAAATACCAAATTTGCTAGTGAAAAATGGTTTTCAACTATAAAAAGCACTTGGCAGAAGACCTAGAAGCACGCAGGCTAACGCTGCACTCTCCTGCAGTTTTAAATAAGTCAATTTTATGTCTTTTGGGAAGAGCAAGATAGGAAAAATATGATAAAAACAATTCCTTTAAAACTTATCAGCATTACTGTTTTGGTACCTATTAGAAAGTGATTAACATTTCATACAAACTTTTTCCAAAACACACAGTCATTGGCAACCATCATTACACACTCCTTTGGGCAGACTTGATTTTTTTAACCAGTAACATCTGGAAAGCACAAAGCACCTTCTCTTTTTTTCTAATAGTGGCTGGTTACTTACTGGAACTAGAACACTTTTAAGCTTCCTTATGATATAATCCTTATATAAGCATGTGCATTAACCAGGTTTAGCCATTTGAAAAGGCAATTTCAAAAGCCTAAGAATCAATACAATGCTTCCTAGGCAGTTTGGGTTGGGAGTGGATATTGGTGACATTAAAGGAAAAAATGCCTGCCTGACACAGGTGAGGACTCCCCAGCCCCTCCTGCAACACCAGTGTGAAAGGTGGTTGCTCTAATCTGCATATTTCTTTCAGAACATGAAAAACAAATGATGCCCCCAAAAAGTGAAGGCTGACATCCAAATCAGAAAATGTTATATGCACTAGTCAGGAAACAACTGTAGATACTCACAGGTCCTGATATAGTATTAAAAAAAAAAAAAAAAAAAAAGTGTTCTAAGTTTCAGAAATTGATAAGCAGGCTGTCCCAGAGGGAAGACAGCAGCGTCAGGACAACTGGCCAGTTCCCCAGGATTCACTCTGCACATCAATCACTCCCTATGAACACTTGACCTTAATAGTTTATGGTGGCTGAATGGACACTCTGGCTTCCTCTCACAGTGTTTAAGAAACAATATAATTTCTCAATTAGCTTTCAAAAATGCACAAAATCGGAAAGTTAGACCACGTCCCCTCTTTAAGAATGCCAAAAGATCCTGTTTTAAGTGCTCTGGTTTCGTTCCATGGGTAACAATTACATCCATCAGGAGGTTTCCAAGGTTCTCCCCATTTTTGGTGTTCATGGCTGTGCCAACAGCAAAGTGGATACTCCCCGGGAGTGGCAGTGACCTCGGTGACCTCTGCCCTGGTCTTGAAGTCCAAACTAGCTCTTGTCATAGCGCTGCTGGGAAGTCCTATTGGTTAATGAAGCTAGCTGTAACATATGGAGGAGGACGAGGTGCTGCCCTCTTGTGTCAGGTCTTGGAAGTCTTGAGGCCTTGCTTTTCCATGATGTTCCAGAGTTTGCGGAGGTTGGACTGCGTGATGACGTCATCGGGCTTGAGCTGCAGCGCCCGCAGGTAGTTGGCCTCGGCCTTCTGAAGCCGGCCGTTGAGGTGCAGGATGGCTCCCAGGTTCATCAGCGCAGCCGGGTACTAGGGCCAGAGAGAGGAAGGAAACCGATTAGGAGGCCATGTCAAGCTTTCCTTTGTGGAAGTCAAAAATCTTCATCCACTTATGCAAATGATTCCCTTATGTCTGGAGGCATTTTATGGAAGCAATTTAGCAATTTATACAGACAGACAAAGGTAACTAGGAAGGAAAATAGAAAAGGTTTGCAAACAGCCGCTGTGTACCTTGTGCCTTAAAAATCCGGCAGCCAGAGAGTTTTCTTCTTTATGAGAAAGAATGGGTTATATATGAAAACCTAGTAACCCAGTCAGATTGTACTTTTCTGAGAAAAAAAAGTAATACAATTTCAGATGGAAAGAATTAACGTTTTTGTCAATTCAACACCAAGAAATACAATATTAAATGGGAAAGTTGACAAATCTACACATCTACCCATCTTTTGTTTCCTCTCATTAGCAATATTCCACACCATTTACAAAAACATAATAAGTAAACTATACTGTAAAGTTTCACCGATCTCTCCGGGTAAGCACCATGAAAAAATTCAAATGCAACCACTCAAATCCTCTCCAAATCTAGCCCAAGTGGTTTAATGAGACAAAGTCCTTATTTTTAAGTCAAACAGTTTTTAAATGTCTAATGGTAAATGTTTACTATAAATATAGCAAAGTAAAAACACAAAAAATAAAATATGGCACCTTTATAAGAGTTTTATGTTATTTGTCTAAAAATAAAGTAATTTGCAAACAGATTTTTCTGTAACGTGATATTTATAACACAAAGTTATCATGTGAAAAGAAAAGATTCAAAAAAAGGTATGAGTTACTTTAATCCATCTCCAACTTCTTATACATTAGTTAATAACAAAGCTCCTTCATGAAGGAAAAAATATTTTGCTTGCTATCTATGTGAATAAGGGCTATTACTGCTCTTGTCTTGTCCCTGGAATTTTCTGGCTAACAAAGAGCAGCTAATATTTTGGCAGTTACACAAATGCATATTTTAAATATCAGATAAAACTAAAAGTGTTTATACTAAGATTATGTTTTCATTTTTCAGATGATGTCAACTCTTAATTGTCCTGGCAAATCTGGTACCGCCTAAAATAATTCTCAATTTACTTTTATGATTTAGTATTTTCACAATGCATGTTATTTTTTCAGCTGAATTCATATGATTCCACTCTTTACTGTAAAAACAATTATTTCTGAACCAAAGCAAGGCCCGGGAGAAGGTTGAAGAGCTCAGAATAAACCAACTGGAGGAAAAGGCTCATATTTAGATTTTAGGAGGTCTGAGTTTGGGTTCTTGCTCAGCCATGGTTATGACCCTGGCAAAGTCCCTGAATATATCTGTGCCTCAATTCTTTTATTTATAAAATATTGAAATAAACTCAACTTTTTGCACATTGTTGGAAAGATACGAGAAAATAAACCAATGTAGCACAGTACATGCAAATCGTAGATACTCTACAAATGTCAAGTTTGCTTTTCCTCCACTCACTGTGCTTGAGGTATTTAGCAAATGCATGTCTGTGATATTTGTGTTGCCAAACATACTTTACAATTTTTATTTCAGTGGCTACATCATATGTTTCTGGATGTATAGCAACATTCTTTTAAGTCCTCAACTACTGGGCATTATTCTCCAACTTTTCAACAGCCTTTCTAAAAATAATGTTGCAAATATAAGCTATTCCTGGACTTCACTAACCTTTTGGTCCGGATGACTCCACACTTATCAAGAAAAATACAGATGGTCAATATCTAATTTTAAACACCAATCCAAATAAACATAGCTCTAAATTACATGTGCAGTGAATAGCTCCACGTTGGAAACCTAAAAATAACACCACCTCCTCTGTCTTCCTAGGAGAACTGTGTTATCATACCACCCATGATTATCTTCCATTCGATGCCTGGACACATTTCTGAATTATGTCCCCTCACAGAGCTTAGGTTCAGCCACTACCAATAAACAGCTACTAAACTGATGGTGAAGCGTGTTCACAGTCTGCATTACCAGAGAGGCGAAAGAGATGAAATGTTCAAACTTCCTGCTATCCTGAGTAGGAAGAGGGAGAACCACGGTTGGAGACCATTCCTTACTTCACAGAAATAGAAGAGGCCCAGTGACTGGGCTGAGAGAAACCAGATGGCTCTGTGGGATAGCTGTTATTTCTTGAATCACTTTATTATCAAACTGTCTGTACCTAACTGTAATTGCAACTCAAGGGGCTTTTAAAAAACCCTCAGAGTTTACCTAGGTCCAGTGTCAGCTCCACCCCAGAAATGTGTGTCCTTGGACAAGCTGGGTGAGCATGTATAAGACCTCGGTTTCTTCTAGAAATGGGATAACAGTGCTTCTTCCAGTTGTTGAGAGTATATGAGGATACATAGGATTGTCTTTTCCTCTCCTTCCTCTCTGTCTCCTTATCATCTCAAAAACACAAAGCAGAATTTCCTTGTCAGTGTACCTGAATGACTCATGACCCCAAACCCTGAGATTTGTACACCGGCTCTTCCTTTACTAGCTTTGTAGCCTTTCTTAGGTTCCACCTGGAGGACAGGATTGTGAAAATAGGTAGTGAAGGATAATAAGACTTTCCTGTTATTTCTAAATTGCAGCCTGAGTTCTGGGCTTGGAATACTTTGCGTCATCTCCCAACCATTAAATAATTAAAAAAAAAAAAAAAAGGTTAATATTCTAGAAAATAAAATGAGGAAGTGAAATGTATTATCAAAATGAGTCTGAATGCTAATTGCAATGGTGTTTCGGATTAACTTTAATTTTGCACTATCCACACAGCATGTTACTCATTAAGCAACAACAACAAAAATCAACATTATCAAGCTAACATGGGATAACAGATCTCACGGAAACTCACATAATACTCATTGTGTTCCCTAAAGAATAAAAATCCACATACACTAAAAATGTGCACATTTAAGAATATCATTCAATATTTTTAAGCAGATTTCTAATTTTAAATAGATAACTGTTTTCAGAGAAAATGTTTTAGTTTGTATTTCAATAGAGTAAGAAAAAGTTCTTTATTTAAAAAAAATCAATGAACATACATTATGTAATCTTTATTAAAACATCACTATAGATTCTTATTAGCATGAATGGAAACTAATAACATTTACATACTGGTGTGCTCAAATGTGACACATGTATCCATTATCTTAGGTAACTGCTTAGAAAGTGTCCACAGTTAACTGTGACAAATAATTTCATGTGTTTGCTAAAAATGTATGAATAAAACTGGATGTAGACAACTTTCTCCTTATATGGTTATTTTCTCTCTTCAGAGATGAGGCTTTATCTTTCAAGCCCATCATCTCTCTCCTCCACAGCAATCACTCAGGTGGCCCCGTGGATCCCACTGGACTGATGCCTTCAATTCGTCTAGTTTTGCTACAAAAATGACAGTTCGGGGGGTGGTATCAGCATCACCCAGGAGCTTGATAGAAATGAAGAATGTCAGGTATCACCTGCTGAATCAGATTCTGAGTTTTAACAAGATACCCAGGTGCTTTGTATGTCCGTTCTAATTTGAGAAACACTGTTCTAGAGGTCATTTCTAGATCCGAGATTGTATCATTTTACAGCTTCTGAAATGAAGTATTTTATAGGAGAATGAAGCTCCTATAGAACAAAGTATGTCCGATCAAATGTCTGTCCTCCCATAAAACAGAATTCTTCTCTTGCCTATATCATTATTTAAGGTAGTTAAGTGTTCAAATGAAGCTTTACTAACAGAGTCATCCATGACAGAAGAAGGAGGAATTAAAAAGCCTTTTCATAACCAAATAAGAGCAAGCGAGGTTTCTAAACAGACTTACAGACTGCCTAGTGATATCACTGAAAGGCAAGAAATCCAGGTGACTGGCTGTCTGATTACATATTGGGTGTCACTGCCATCTGCCAGCCATGAGTCATGGGCTGGAGAACAGAAACCCAACTACAACTGCTGATGTCTTCCCTCACACACATCCTCTTTTATTAAAGACAGCCGATGAAATTTTCAGCATGTTAACAAAGGCAGTCAGCAGCCTGCAACCCAGTAACATGGGGCTGGTGACTCCATACAACAAATGACACCACCTCCTACTTCACAGACGAGAAAGAAGAGCCAGACTTTCTTGCTTCCTTGAAGAGAACAGATGCTTTACATCAAAGGGGCTGACTGGCAGCCACAGAGGCAACAAATGCCGTCTTTTTTTTTTTTTTTTTTTTTTTTCCCCCCAAGTCTCTGGGGAATTATGCCTTTATTATTAATTTGCTGTGGTCTTTGGCTTATTTCTTCAGCACCGGAGGAAATAGCAAAACTAAAATAATAGATGTATATTGTGGTGTGGTAGAGGAGAGGCAAGATTTTAAAGGCCTGAGATGTCTTAGACTAATGCCCTGGAGGCTCCCCAGGTCTCCCGAGCACGCAGGATCGGAAGACAAAGTCGTTTTCCTAGCCTTTGTCTATTGTGTAGTCTTGGAAAGATATCTGTAGAGCAGGAATTGTGAGACCATAAGGAGACTGAGGACTGGGAATGCATGTGGCTGTTGGGAATGAGACTGAAATGCAGACCTTCGAACATAGGACTTAGGTGAGGCCCAGGAAAAGGTAAACAAGGGCTTGGTTGAAATGTTCTAATTAGACAAGAGGTGGAAACCCAAACAGTAACTGGCTCTTTGTGACCCATTATTAATTAGTCCTCGTGGCTACCTCCCTTTTATGAAGGTAAATCAACAGGCACGAGAAGCTCTGAAACAGAGATTAGTACACCAATATTTTTCATTTTATAAAAATATTTCCTTTCAGATCTGGCTGGGTAGCTCCATTGGTTACAGCATTATCCTGATAAGCAAAGTTTGGGGTTCAATCTCGGGTCCGGGCACATATAAGAAGCAACCAATGAATGCATAAAAAAGTGGAACAATAAATCGATGTTTCTCTCTGTCTCTCTCTACAAAATAATCAATCCATAAAAACATTATATTGAAAGGTATTTCATTCAAAGTG